TCACGCACTTTAAGAAGGTAAACAACGCACCTTAAGAAGGAAAACCACGCACCTTAAACACACAAACCACGCAACTTAAGAAGGAAAACCTCGCACCTTAGCAACTGCACAAGCGCACCTGAAAAGGTCAACCGCACGAGAACCCATATATATATATATATATATATATATATATATATATATATATATATATATATATATATATATATATATATATAGGGTCAGGTTTCCATGCGGTCACTCACCATTTGGTACGTATAAATACACCACAAAGTGTTCGAAAATGCTAACATTAGGTCTGGTCCTTTTTTTTTTTTTTTTTTTTTTGGGTGTGTGGTGCATTGATGCATTTCGTTGTGGTGCATTTTTGAACCCTGTGTCATGTATTTTTACATAATGATAAATCTGCATCGGTCGCAGGGGAAGCACTGTTCGCATATAGAGGTGGCCTTGGAAGCAAGGAAGGAGCCAAAGTGGGGGGGGGGGGGCAGGGGGGCGGCTACCCCCTCACCCCACCCCTACCCCGTATATAACTTTTGTATGTATATTGTATATATAGTACAAGTTTTAGTATTAGTATAAAAAAACAGATAAATGTTAATAAGAAATGAGCTAGATTAGTTGGTAAAGTGTGTGTTTGGTTATAGTGAAAGTCATGGGTTCAAATCTTGGTATTATCATATTTTCATAGTTTTTTTGACTTCAACACAATTAAGTATTTTTTTTTAATATTTAACACACACACACACACACACACACATATATATATATATATATAACATTCTTTATATTAATAATAAGATGTGTAATTTATAATGTGTTTTTTATTTAAATTATTTTATCAAATTAATTATGTTTCATATTTTTTTATGAATATTTTTATAAAGTTTCGATGGGTTTTATTTTTTTGCTCATATCGAATAATATTTATACCTATATTTCTTAGATATTTTTTTTTCAAATTATCTCTTTTGATTTAACGTTTTGTAAAAATTATCTATTTTCACAATTTTTTTGGCTTCAACACAATTAAGTATTTTTTTTTTTTAATATTTAACACACACACACACGCGCATATATAACATTCTTTATATTAATAATAAGATGTGTAATTTATAATGTGTTTTTTATTTAAATTATTTTATCAAATTAATTATGTTTCATATTTTGTTATGAATATTTTTATAAAGTTTTGATGGGTTTTATTTTTTTGCTCATATTGAATAATATTTATACCTATATTTCTTAGATATTTTTTTTTTCAAATTATCTCTTTTGATTTAACGTTTTGTAAAAATTATCTATTTTCACAGTTTTTTTGGCTTCAACACAATTAAGTATTTTTTTTTTAATATTTAACACACACACACACACACATATAACATTCTTTATATTAATAATAAGATGTGTAATTTATAATGTGTTTTTTATTTAAATTATTTTATCAAATTAATTATGTTTCATATTTTGTTATGAATATTTTTATAAAGTTTCGATAGGTTTTATTTTTTTGCTCATATCGAATAATATTTATACCTATATTTCTTAGATATTTTTTTTTCAAATTATCTCTTTTGATTTAACGTTTTGCCTTCACTGGACAAAATTTCTGGATCAGTCCCTGCTTCTTCGCCTCCCTCAACGGAATTCCTGGCTCCGTCCCTGGTTGGAAGGTGATGGGCAGGCAGCAGTTGTAGTATAATGTTGAACCATTGCCCACAATCTATCTGCCATATAATGTTGAACCAATATAATCCATCATATAATAATATCACTTCAAAAGATAAAAAAACACCCAAAAGTTGGATTCCAGGGAGGAACGAAAAGTAGTTTAGATATAGAAAAATGACAAAAGAAGCAAGCTAAGCAAAATTTATATTATTAAAGGAAAAAAAAGTTTTGTCTACAATGGCGAAGGTGCAGTCTCGTGATATGATGGTTGGAGTACGTACTATAGGAGTGTGAAAGCATATGGCTTAATTCTGATCATTCTAGCTTGCATTATTTTAAAGTGGCATGGAATATTTGTTAGCATGCATGAACTTGCCTTAGCTTCAATTCTTTAATTTTCATCAAACACACAATATATAAACATTGTTTTTTATTATTATCTTAATTTAATTATTTATTACTAAATAATTGTATTGTTGGGATACTATAGCCTAGTACCAACACACATAGATGATTCAAGTGAGAGATATGATTCTTGCATGAAATAAAAACAAAAACTTTATATTATAAGAGTAAATTCAAATTAATTCTCATCAATTATATATGTACATAGTTTTATCACTTTATGCATGTGAAGTAGTACATTGCATTGCAAATAATGCACATTCATTTATAAATCCCACGGGAACTTGGGGCCTGGGGGTCGTCATTGGGTGACTTTGACCGATTAGAGGAGATGAAGATCCATTGTACGTAGAGTTTACAGGTAGGGGTGGGAACTTGGAGTCTGGAGATTAATTTTGCGATTTACCTCTTTTAGTAGCTCTTGGCCAGGGGCTCTACGAGTTTAGAATTAATTTAGCCTATGATAGGATACCTAATGTGTATAAACAAAACAAAAAAAAAAAATGTTGGTTGCAGATTAAATATCAACCCATGATTTTTGCAAAGTAATTTATGGATAAAGTTACATGAATAATCAAAATTACTCACATAAAATTTTTACCATCTTCGTTGGTTTTCATAAATTAGTTGACCCATCTTACTTTCTTTAAAAAAAAAAAAAAACAATATGATTATATTGTCAAGCTAGTGAAATTTTTTAGTCCATGTAACCTGATTCGTAATTTATTATAGATATATAATTATGGCATGGTTAATTATTTTCATTTAATTGTCAATTACCATAATTTTTGGGGTCTAAATTATAAAATAAAATTCCTTAATGATTTATGTTTATCATTAAAAATAACAGTTATACTTACCATAAATAAGTAATTAATCCATAAATAGTTAATACCCATAAATGTCATATTATATCATGCATGCTATTAATTTTAGTAATAAACAGTATTTACTATATTAATGCGTACTAACCAAATTCATCATTAATTTACATATTTGATAAATTATATTTATCATCTATTTAACTATATTTAATTGCATTATTATTATTATTATTATTATTATTATTATTATTATTATTATTATTATTATTATTATTATTATTATTATTATGTACTAAAATTTGTAATTAATATTTTACATTTCAAAATGAGCGCAGAAAAATTACAGGAGTCTTGAGTATCATTTTAGCATTATATAGTATCATTGGGTGCAATGACACGTAGGTGTAGTGTAAGTAGCTTGTTAGAGAAGGTTAGGGTAATTAAACCATAGAAATAAAAGCGTTAGAGAGCAAGCAATTGATGCAACATAATGGAAGATGCATGAGTACTTCTCATTGTGGGGTTCTTTCATTTTCACTTATTTATTGCATTTGTCCATATCATCATGGATCTTCACCAAATATAATATATAATATATGTGTATGTTTTTCACATCCCTAAATAAATATAATAATTAGCTATAGAAAATGGGTTGAGAGATTTCTTTTCAGAGTATTTATCAATTACCAGGAACCGAACAAAGTCGTAAATACTTAGACTAAAAAAGTTAATCACGAAATGACCAAGTGGATCGAATGGGACATCCTCCAAGCGACATCACGATGAGAATAAAAAATGCATTATATTTTGTCTAGCTACTACATATTACAAATAGGAATGTGTGAGATTACCTAAAATTTTTATGCCTAATGTGTGAAAGTTTGAAACTAAAATTAAAATACATAAAAAATATTAAAGAAAGATTAAATTAGATATCAATAAAATATTTTTAAGATATTATTTTTACTCATTATAGTTATACACTACTTGTGAATACCCTATATTTTGAAAGAAAAAAAAAATACTATTTGCCTATTTGGTGAATATAAAATTGAATATTGTCATATTATTTATGTTTATAATGGAAAAAACAAAGTAATTCAAATACGTGACTTAATAATTTTGAGAAAAAAATATAATATAATTAATTAGATTGTCATAATAATAGTTTCAATAAATACTCTATAATTAATTTAAATAGAAATAAAACTAATGGAATGAATACAATTTTGTTCGGATCGGATAAAATAAAATGTACAACATTATTTAAGAATAATATTATTAAAATTATGTGATATAATTTTAATCAAACATTATCTAATAACACTTGCACGTATCACGTTTTATTACTTTTTTTAACCACAACTGAAATTTAGAAAGAAAAAAAGAAAAAGAAAAAGGTAAAATACATCCTTAAACATTATTTAAAAAGTCAATTAGACCCGCAAATTTTTAAAAGTTACAATTAGGTATACAAACATGTTGATTTAGTGAATTAAGACCCAAATACCTGTTATCAACCTGTAATAACAAGTCACTAGGTTGTTCGACAGTGTTCTGGTGGCGAAAATCGATGACGACAACCAACACGTCGCTGAAGAAGGTTTGGTTGCCTTCTCTGTTGTTGGAGAAGGCGACTAGGTTTGGTTGCCATCTCCAAGGGACTGAGAAGGCGACTAGGTTTGGTCGCCTCCTCCATCACGGAGATGGCGACTAGGTTTGCTGGCCTTCTCTGTCCCTCGGAGATGGCGACTAGTTTGGTCGCTATTTCAATTGTCAGAGAAGGCGACCAACACTTCTCCAGCGATGTACTAGTCTTCGTCATCGATTTTCGTCACCGAAACATGACCGGACAATTTAGTGACCAATTATTACAGGTTATTAAAAGGTATTTGGGTCTTGATACACTAAATCGACATGTTTATATATCTAATTATAACTTTTAAAAGTTTGAGGGTCTAATTGATTTTTAAAGTAAAGTCCGGTGGTCTATTTGACTCTTTTCCCAAAAAAAAAATATTCTACCAATTTCGCAGATCAAAACCGTGCAGTGTTATATCATCTTTAAATATTAAAAAGAAAGACAGTGATTATGTCCTCTGATCTATATTTCATAAAACAACTCATTCAAACTAAAAATCTCAAAGCCATGGAAACCTCCTCTCACTCTCTCTCCATTGAGAGCTTCTCTCACAGCTGGTCGGTGAATCCGGAAGGCTCTTTCCGGGGCTCCGATGAAGCTTCCTTCATTGAAATGGATCCTACACTCCCCCCTTCTCAGAGATTCTTCAGCGTTAGCCTCCCGGAGTTTAGCAGCTTCGACTTTCCGGTGTCGGAATCTCCATTGGCGCTCCTTCATGCCGATGAGCTCATCTCCAATGGCTTCCTCGTGCCTCTGTTCGCCCAACCTATCAAGTCCGACTCCTTCGATCGCGCTTTCGATTCGCCTCAACAACCTACCAAACAAGATCAGGTCCGTTCATCCGACGAAATCCGTTGCGCCCCGCTGAAAAGATGCCAGAGATTATCCAGGCGGATCTTCCGCCGGTATTTGGACGTAATTAGGCCGATTTGTGTGAAACTGCGGAGATTCGGATTCGCCTACGGACGGAGAAGCTCCAGAGCGGAGGAGAGGAAGAGATATGAATTTTCCGGCGCGGTTTCAACCGGCGCGGCCTACTCTGATGATAACTGGCGCCGGTCTTGCGACTCCGAGAGCTCGATCCACGAGGCGGTTCTGCATTGCAAGAGAACCATCGTTGGTAATATATCTCATCTTTGTCTTTGATTATCATATTTCAATGAAAATTAAATTATCTTTTCCTGGATAATAACATCTGAAATTATATATTGTGGATTTGCAGGGGATAAATGATGAGATGAGATGAGAGTGTGGGACATGTGAAGATGATAAGTAGGCCGTTTCCGTCAATTTTTTTTTTCTTCTCTTCTCTACTGTGCTGTACTGATTTGTTTTCTTGGGGAAGTAAAAAAAATGGCACTTTGGCAATTGGCATGCATTTTCTGGGGAAAAGAAATGATTTTGAAAATACTTTTTGCCTTTCCTACACTGTTGTGGATGAAGAATTGTTATGGGGTGTTTGGTTGACATGAATTTTAATTCGTTTGCAATGAAATTTATCATTCATGTCAATTACATTATCTGATTAGAAGAAATTGTAATTCATAACACATCTTCCAAAAAATTCCTAATTCAGCAGGGGATTACAATGAAAATATGAAGAAATTTATGTTATTATTATTATTATTATTATTATTATATAAAAGTATTTTAATCTTTATATCACTTCTTCCTTTCTTATTCTTCAAATTCTATTACTTCCTATCAAATAATGTATTTTGAATTCGTACTTTATTCCTAATTGCTATTGTAATCAAACTAACACTATATGATTCATGGGATGAAATTCATAATGATAATAATATTTATGCCTAATAGTTATGTTAATAATATTATAATATATTAATATTGATAGTTTTGTTAGACCAGAGTCATCATAAAAATAGGCATTAGGGATTTTAGTTTTTATTTTATTTTATTTTTTACTTTTTTTTTACTTCTTTTTTTTTTTATTATTATTTTTTTTTTTGCAACAAAGGAAAGTTAAAATATATATTGAGTTAATACCCAAAATCGTCATCGGTTATAGTGGTTTTTCTCGATTTCATCCTAAATGACTTTGGTGACCTAATATCGTCCTAGACTTTTGTGTTTCGCTCAATTTAGTCCTCCATTTGTTATTTCGTCAAATTGGTGTTAAATTAAGGGACAATTCAGTAATGTCAATATTGATTTCTCTTTACTTTCAACTTGTGAAGTGTGAAATTCCTCTTTCTTGTACGAATTACACGCAGAATTACTCCCGGACCTGAAAATCAAATTTTATATTCGCAGTTTTAGGAGTAATTCTGGGAGTAATTCGTAAAAAAAAAAAAAAAAAAGAGATTTCGCAGTTCATATGTCTATGAGTAAAGAGATGCCAATATTAAAATTATTGAATTATCTATTTATTTAACACCAAATGGACAGAATAACAAATGAGGGACTAAATTGAGCAAAAACACAAAAGTCTGGGACTAAATTGAGCGAAACACAAAAGTCTAAGACGATATTAGGTCACCAAAGTCGTTTAGGACGAAATTGAGAAAAACCACTATAGTCGAGGACGATTTTGGGTATTAACTCAATATATATTAGATAATAACAAAATGAGTTGCAAAAGACACTTTTCGAGCTACTGCTAAATAAATAAATAAATAACTCTGGACTACTTAGGGCATCCTCAATAGTTGGGGATTTTACTCCAGATTTTTGTGGGTCCCAACATCCAACTCATTATCCACTATCTCACTCAATCACAAAATCTCTTCTTCCCATTAGTTTTAAGTTCTTCAAAACTTTTTGTGGACCCACCATTTTATCTCAATATTTTATTTATTTATTTGATTTATAATTGTAAAATAAACATAAATAATTAACATACATAACATATATATATATATATATATATATATATATATATATATATACACACACACACACACACATAAAATTGCAAACTTTCATTTGTTGGAAACTTAATTAAAATAATATTATAAAAATTATTATTACAATTTTTAGCAAAATTAAAATAAATTTATAATTATAAACTTTTTAATTTTTTAAATTATAATTTTATCATATACAAATTTAATAATAGAATTTAACAAAACTAAAAAAAAAAAAAAAAATAGAACAAAGAAGCTGGCCTAGCCGTTGGTTGGCCAGCTTTAAAAACAAAGCAAAAAAAGTACAGGTTTTTCTGACATGAATTTGCAAATAGCAGGAGAAAATTTTTGTTAAAGTCTTGCCTTCTCATTTGTCAAAATCCAACCCATGGAGATTTTACTATTCTAAAATGTGGTGTTGAATCCCTTATTGGGGATGCCCTTATTAGGCCCAAAACAATAGCTTGATTGACTAGCCTATGATACTTGCCAAGGCAAATTATAGGAAAATGGTATGTTTACTACCATTTTTACTCTCATTTTTTATTTTTAACTTGGATTTTCACACACAAAATTTTGATATAAATACTTGTATTGGGACTCACATGAAAAAAAAAAAAACTTATCGGAACCTGTCACATTAGAAAGTAAAATTTAGAGAGTAAGATTTAGGAGTACATGTAGTAGAACTCCAAATTATATGATGAACCAAGATCCACGTTCTATAGTTGACTTTTGGTCCAAAATGACTTCATTTTATATTAAGTATTTTAGCGTTCCATGTTTAATAAAATTATCATGTATTATATTCATAATATTTGTTCTAGATCTATATATTCATAAACTTAAACTTTAATTTATAGAGGTTCGATCCTATGAAACCACCTTATAGATGAGATCATTAAATCACATCTCAACCATCCAAATAATTGTATTTAATGGAAATGATTGAATTAAAAAGCTCATTTATATAAGGATATATTATTAAATACATAAAGGGACATTGTAATTTCATTATGAATGGAATAGAATCTTTTCTTAATTTAAAGACATTCTATCCATAGTAGGCAAGAATTTTATAATTTCATTTTTTTTTTAAAAAAAATGGAGCAGTCGTATGAAAAACAAACATCCATTGTCGCGCTCCAGATTGCATCAATGGATGAAGAAATCAGCGGTAAGTGTTGCTCCGTTTATGTTGTTGATTTTGCTGCTTACAGCGTACGTGTGCATTTAATGCCTTGTTAGACGTGTGCCAAATGCTATGTCAATCTGTTACTACTGTGGTTCGGTAGTTTCTGTGTGGAGCGTGTGCTTTCAGACTGGGTGGTGTGTGCAAATGTGTGCAGCCGCACGGGATGGGGCATGTAGGGTGTGAGTTTTATTTTATTGCAGTGTGTGCGACTGTGTGCATTCATTGTTCAACAATTTTTAGGCACGCATATAGTGTAGCATGACGTTGTACACACCTGCATCACAGTAATATGAACGTGTGTGGCTACATGCATTTAGTCGAGTGTCAGAATACGTTACAGTAATATGAATGTGTGTGCTGCAATGTAATAAACTATGTGCTATTGTTTGAAGTATCTCCAGGTGAGCGTAAGGGTAACAATGTTGTACAAACCAGAGTGTAGAGACTAATAAGTGATTGGTGATGAGTAATTAGTAGGTGTGTGCTGGGGTGGGTTAACTCTGTGCGAGCCACTGACTGATTGGCGGTGTAGTAATTAGTATGTGTATCTTTGGATGGGGTTAACTTTGTGCAAGCCACTGCTGTAAAACGGGTGAAGTTAAATGTAACGAATTGTGTATAGATGAGTTTGTGGAATTATATGTGTTTTTCTTTCACAAATGCAGGACCCATGTAGAGATATGTGTCATGGATATATCTCCAGGATCTACAGAGTATTGGTTAACAGTATGTGACCCATCCCTCAAACCAGTAGTTGGGCAGCAAATTGATACATTAGAAGCCGGAATAGAATTCTATTTCAAGTATGCTTCAGTTGCCGGTTTTGATGTGCGACGCAACACTGATAAAAAGAACAAACATGGTGCCATTCTAAAAAAATACTTGGTTTGTTCACGCCAGGGGTATAAGGAGCCAACAGATACGGAATCAGTGTCAACTGAAACCCCAAAGCAATCCAAGCGCCGCCAACCTTCTAATAGAATTGGTTGCATCACTAAGATCAATGTTGCAAAAATCGCGCCTAGGCGCTAGGCGGTCAGCCTCCTAAGCGCCCTAGGTGTCCGTCTAGGCGCTCTAGGCAGTCTCTAGGCGCCTAGCGATTTTTGCAACATTGACTAAGATAATATTCAAACTAAAGAGTGGTTTGGGGTACGAAGTGGTGTCATTCGAAGAAAGACACACGCATTGTTTGTGCAAGAACAATTGCAAACTGTTCATGAAAGTTTAATCGAAAATTAGACATTGGGTATCAACATTTTATATCAACTTTTAGCAGTGAATCCAATAAGTTGTAATGCTTCAGCTTTGCACATACACGTACTCAGTCTTCACTCTAGAGTTACTATTTTGTAGAACATTTGAGAAAATTATTTTAAACGAATTGATGAATAATGATACATTCTTTCTTCCTTTTTTATCCAAATATTTCCGGTAAACGTATGCATATGAAGCAGATCGTGATAAAGGATGTATATCAAATTGGTAAAAATGACATTTTTAGTCTATATATGGTTGATTAAGTCCGTGAATTATTTGATTAAATTTAATTCTGGGTCTACTGTACTATTCGAGGGACAAAAAAATTGAAATTATTTGTATTTTTAAGAATAAACAAATATCTTACATCCTGCTTACTATTATGGACAGAAAAAGATTAAGAAAGTATAGTAGAACAAATACTACCTAGAAGAATGAGGGTGTGTTTAGTTAATGGGTTTAGCTATTTCTGGAATTAAAGTCATTGTTATTATTTGGTTGACAGGTTTCTAGAACATTACTATGAGATTTGATTACCCCTTAACTAGAAAAATCATCCCCTAACAAAATAAGGGTTCCATTCCCCCTCCTAATTGGTAATAATTTCACTAATTTGATTTTTAAGTTTGGATTAGTGCTTTTAGGTTTTTGTTTTTATTTTTGTTGTTATATTGGTGCTTTGGATGTTTTTATATTAGAATAAATTGTCTTGATTTTTTGTTATATTTTTAAAACCTTTATTTTCATTATAGGATCATACATAACCAAACAACAATATTGGTAATCATCCTAATTTCACCTTACTACCAAACATGCTAAATACTTTCATCAAAATTCATTAATATTATCAAGTATTTGATTTCAATTCCGATTCCCAAACACACCCTTAAGTGTTTATCTGATCTGCTGCTTAAATCAAGATCATTGGAACTGGATCACAGATTGAAGTCCCTCCCTTGACTAACACTCCTGAACAGTACAATCGAAAACTGAATCAAAGAATCCATGTTTGAGGTTGAGTTCATTGAGGGACTACTTTTCGAGTAGAGACAGGAGTCTCAACATCTTTTGTGTCTGCATATTTAAGGTACATATCCGAGCAGCTGCCTGATATTCTGTGGTTCTTCCATATGGGGTGAGATTTTGGTCGCCTTTCAGTGATGGCGATGGCAATGTCGTTGGGAAAGAGGTCCCGGAGAAGGAATGCGTGGACGATCGTGGTCACCAGCAGCAGGGCTACGGTGAGTGAAGCAACAGCGCTGAGGATCACAGCCAGAGACTTTGTCAGTGTGTTGGTCACGGCGGAGGAGTACCTGATGCTGGCAATGGCGGCTCCGGTCATGGGGAACGTGTAAGCCCACCATGCCAATGAGAACTTGAATCCTCGGAAGAAATTTATGCGAACACTCTGCAACCAAAACACAACAATTATTAGCCCAATCTATATCACTATTGTTAAGCCGAGGCCGGTAAAAGGACAAGTCTAGCAATGAATAATTAGGGGATTGTTGGGCGAATTAAGACAGGTGATAGGACCAAATTCAACACCATCTTCTCGAAAATGTGTTACGGAGTACTATATAAGGAAATAAAGTTGCAACAGTTAAGACAGTGGGTCTTGTGAAGGGAATTGTTGAAGGGTTAAGTTCAGGTGGCTGGGGAATTTTAGACCGAGACTGGTGAAGGACCAAATCTAGCACTGCTTCTCAAAAATGTGGCGGTATATAAGGAAATAAAGTTAGAATTACTAGGTGTTATGAAGGGAATTGTTAGGCTAAGACCGGTGTGGCTGGAGAATTTTAGACCGAGGCTGGTGAAGGGCTAAATCTAACACCATGCTTCTCGAAAATGTGACGGTATATATAATAAAATAAAATTAAAATTGTGCAGTTAACTTGGTAGGTGCTGTGAAGGTCGAATAAGAGTCAAGTCCAACAGTAAGCTTTCGTTGTGAGTTAGTTATAGTTTTTAGACTAGTGGCAAGTATCCTAACAATTGAGATTCATTCTATTATTAGCTAGGAATTGATCTCAATATAATACTAACCAGAGAGAAATAAAGGAACAAGGCAATGAAGTAAGCGATCTTTGATGCATCGTCAAAAGAGCCATGGATCTTAGCCAACGCCATGGAAGCAACGCTTGGTGCAGCAACGAACAAGAAGAACACGGGGTGAAGTTCCTTAGGAAGAGTCTCGTTTGTCGGAAGCCTCTGATATAGCGTCACAAATAGAACTATGTAGTGAGCCAATCCAATAGCAAAGAAGAAAATAGGACCCTCTTTGAGCCCCATTGTTGCGCCAAGCAAAGCCCCCACGAAATTCCCGACAATGGCGAGATGGTTGGAGGGATTGGCCACTTTCGACAGCCTACGTTGTCCTCCCGACATCCATTGCCCGTAGATTTTAAGGTCCAGGCAAAATATCGGCGCCATAAACACGTACCATAACGAGGAATGCAGGTTTTCAGTCACGGATGGGGGAACCCCGAGGGCTAAAAACAGTACCACGATCCATGGGGCGAAGAAGAAGTTGACGCGAACCGGGTGATAATACTCGCGCCTAACTGCTTCAAAGTAGAGAATGGTTTTGAGAGCGTAGATGAAAGCGACAATGGAGAAAAGCGCGACGGATATGATCCAGAGGACTAGATTTACATGCAGGCTGATATGGAGGAATTCGGTGGAAGGAGAAGTGGCAAGTGCTTTCCATAGAATGGCTTGGCTGCTGACGCCGAGACAGATACCGAAAGATCCGATGGTAAATCGGAGAAGGAACGGCCACGTCCTGTCTTCCGGCAGAACGCTTTTCTCGGAAGCCTGCCAGAAACAGAACAAATAAAATCAAACGCTTACCATTATGTCAAAAACTATAACTAGTAACGAAGGAGTCATCACATTTTCGAGAGACTAAGGTACTAGACTTATCCTTTATTAGCCTCCAACCAACAATTCCCAAGCTACTGATTCACTGATTGATGGACTTGGCCCTTTACAAGCCTCTGCCCAACAATAACAACAGAACATCATTGTATTGAAAATTCGTACTATGTACCTTTCTTTTTATTTTTATTTTTATTTTTTAACTACGTACCTTTAGGGTGTCCAATTATGGGCCTTTCAAGGTACCATCACATTTTTTAGAGGCAAAGTACTGGACTTGGTCCTTTACGGGCCTCCGCCCCCTAGCCACTAATTGATGGGTCATGGTCCACACAATTGTGTGGACCATAAATATCAGGTACATTTTTAATATACTAAGGGTACATTATTTTGTACTGAAGGTACATTATTTTTGTATTGAAGATACATTATATAAAATAATGTACCCTCAGTATATTAAAAATGTACTTTATGTACATAAATAATGTATCCTTAATATATTAAAAATGTACTTTTTATTTATGGTCCACACAATTGTGTGGATCATGATCTATGCAATAATGATTGCTGATTGATGGACATGACCCTTTAGAGGCCTCCGCCCAACAAATTGAAAACAGAACATCATCTATCCAAAATTTGTATTGCATATCTTAAAGGTGTCCAATTCTGGGCCTTCAAAGGCACTATCACATTTTAAAGAGGTAGGGTGCTAGATTTGACCCTTTATCAACCTTTGCTAACAATTCCCGGCAAATTATGCTGTGCATCCGTATGCACCATGCATGGTGCGTACGGATGCAAAAACGACGTCGTTTTAATAAAACGCGCATCTCCCCTTTAAAAAAAAAAATCAGGTTCGATTCCCAGCAACAACATATGAACTAAAATTCCATAATCGATGAACTATAATTTCATAATCGATGAACTATAATTCCATAATCGATGAACTATAGTTCCATAATCGATGAACTATAATTCCATAATCTATGAACTAAAAATTCCAGAATGAATGAATTAAAATTCCATAATCTATAAACTAATATTTCAGAATCGATGAACTACAATTCCATAATCGATGAACTATAATTCCATAATCAATGAACTATAATTCCATAATGAATGAACAATATAATGTTGTTGCTGGGAATCGAACCTGAATTTTTTTTAAAGGGGAGACGCGCGTTTTTTAATAAAACGACATCATTTTGGCATCCATATGCACCATGCATGGTGCATACGGATGCACAGCATAACGATTGACAATTCCCTAATCAGTGATTGATGGAGTTAGTCCTTTACAGGCCTCCGTCCAGCAAGAACTAACAGAACATCATTGTATCAAAAATTCGTACAAAGTACCTTAAGGGTGTCCAATTCTGGGCCTTCCAAGGCATCGAAGTATCTGTCCACAGGTATAGTTTCAATTTCAATGTTGTGTTCCGATCCATCTGATTCTTCTTGTTGTGATTGGCGCTGCTTCCCACGTAAATTGGAGAATTGTCTCTCGAACCTTCCAGAGCAAGTCTTGAAAGAATCAAACCTCTTATCCTTCATCTTGTTAGTCCTGGGAGTCTTGTTTAACGTTGTTCCAACAGGAGAAGGCGGCATGCTGATAGAAACAGAATGAAGAATTTTAGCTTCCCCACTCTCCGCTGCAGCAGCATCTCTAATTCTCTGGCAATGGCCACACAACATCACCACACCATTGTAATTAGGTTCCAACTAAATCAGCAACAAGCTAAGAGATAAAATTAAATGTTGGGCAGAGGCCAGTAAAGAGCCAAATTCATCAATTGACGATTAGGGATGATGTCTTTTGAAATTGTAATGGCGGTCTATAAGGAAATAATGTTGCGTCCTAAACTATTGCTTTTGGCGTAATGATAAGCCACTGATCCTAACAAGGGGTATCAGAACCCTGCCACAAGCTCGAGCTATAGTTTTTGACAAATATACAGTGATAAACACTTGATTCTACATAGATATAATTGATGGAGTGAGCAGAGAAAATTGACTTACTTTTGTGTCACCATGCTCTTCAATGCTATCAAAACCATCCACTTCATGTACACTAACGCGACGAATGAGTGAAGGAAGAGTTTCCATTGATAGATGTGATGAGAGAATAACCAGATAGAGTGCAGGAATTTAAGGCAATCGAGTATGGGTGGTTACAGGTTGGTGGTCAAAAAGAGAAAGCGGTGGCGGTGGCAGGCCAGCAGCCAAACCACCAGAGAGGCGGATGGCTAAAGCTACCTTCTACGAAGGTGACATCTGATCTCCATGGCAGACACATATATTATTAGGTGTATGTGATCGAGCAAACTGGAAACAGGCTCCCTCTCCACACTTTGATTAATATTATGTACGTTTCTGTCGCAGACAAGAAAAATAATAGATGGGAGAAGAAGAAAAATAATATATGTACGACAACTAAACACATGTACTGATCGATGTACTGAATCATTTTTAAATATTGAACATGAAAATGATATTAATTAACTTCATATATAAATTTATTTTTCAATGCCAAAGATGTTATGTAGCATAATTTAATGTCATCTAGTGTGGAAGGGTATATATTTGATCAAAATCATGTTAAGTAGCATAATTTAATGTCATCTAGAGTGGTAGGGTATATATTTGATCAAAATCAATTATAAGTTTTTACAACTACGTGTGGAAGGGTATATTTGATCAAAATTAATTATGAATTTTTATGTAAACTCTTGAGTTAAAAATCTCGCTTTATATCATACCACATCATTTTTCTTATTTGTTTTTAGTACAAACACTTATTTGTAACCTACAGGTTAATGAACATTTAATGGTGTACATGCTATAGAGATAATACATTTCTTTTTGAGAGCTGAGTTATGTGTTAATTGCTCCTTTATATATTAAATAGTAAAGACACTAATGATGCCTAACTCTAGATCTAGATTATTATATAACAAGATCAATTGTAAAGATAGTAGTACAATGTTGTCGATAACTATAATATTTTTTCCTGAATTTCTCCCATATTCATAAAAGTTCATGCATGGCAATTTTAAGTCAACAAGATTAGAGCCATTTCACAAAAATATTTAGATCTAGTCGTTTCACATCCCTAGTATTATAATTATTTGGTGCACCTATAAATTTACTAGGATTTTTCATCTTCTAGACGAACATCTTCAAAACCTAATTCTTCCAGAGATTTCAAGAGTGACGAAGTTTCTCTGTTAGGTTTAGCTTTCTCCAGATTCTTATCATTTACAGTGATAAGTCTCTCACCCTTCTGGGGTCAAGAAGCATCAGTAGATCAGATCAGATATATTTGGTCCAAGTTGGGAAGCTAAGGTATATGTATGTGGCCTAGTCACTCTTTTATGATCAATAAATATGTTTGACAGATTATTTGCTAAAAGTTGCAAATTGATTATCTTATGAATTTCTAGTTCAATCTAACTAGTACCTAGATTTAAATACTGAGATCTTTCTACTATATGAAATTTCTCGATATTCCATTAAATTTAGACTTATATCTTCACCTAATGCCATGAAATGATCTTCATAAAACATGCATCCAATGTATTTATTGATCCCCTATCATGGGCTTTAAGTATTTTGATAACAAATAATGGAGGTTTATAATTAACATGTATACCTAGTTTTATTTTATAGCCCCTAGACATACATTAGGGTGTTGATACATGGAAAATGACTGCACACTAATAATAAAATGCTGAGGGGGGAATGTTTTATTTGAAACCACGTGCTAGGTGTAAGGGTACGATGAATAAACATGATAAGCAGTAAGTCAGATTTGGATAAACTAATAGTATGTAAAATAGGACGGCTCCAACAAGAAATTAAAAGAGATAATTTAGAAATTTCCCTTCACTCGATGGTTTATAAAATACTTATGTGAAGGGAAGCTAATCTTTGACATATATATGATGTTTAACAAGATTAATAAAAATATGACTCATCATATTTTGTCCAAAGTGACCGAATCACTTAATGTCATAATTTAACAAAATTTGGGTCTTTAAATTTTAAAACGTATCGCAATATATGGAGGAGTACTTATAACTTTATAAGTATGTGCAATCATCTAATAGTAACAAATATGTTCAAATAGGGAAAACATACACATTAAATGAAAATATAAGGGTAATGAGCAATCTTAGAGATGTTAAATGTCAAATAGAAATATATATATATATATATATATATATATATATATATATATATATATATATATATATATATAGATGATGAGACCATTTAAGGTCTCTAAAATCTATTTTCTCAACTTATGAGAGTTCATCATCATCAAATATTCAAAACTTGTTTACTTCAGACAAACTAGCATGATATAATTCACTTCTACCTCCCATGCACATAACATTTAAAATAACTATATCATGCATCCCGTCATGACATGATCATAATTTTTTTTTTTTTTTGGTAGACTAGCTAATATAACACTAAAGATAGAAACTGAAGACGTCATTCACGAGTCATGAGTCATTAGTAACCTAAAGACTTCATTTGAGATCTTCTAGGCCTTATTGGAAAAACATTCCAATGACCAGACACATTATCAAGTAGGATAGGTTTAGAACTTAGAGAGTATATTCTTACAAAAGCAAAGAGAGTATAATTTTTCATGTACTACTACTGGCATACAATGTGACTAGCCTAGAAGACGTACAATTAGGCTCACACTACTTAATACTCCGTATGATTTTGTCATCTGCTAATATTGGAATACAAGATGACTAGTCTAGAAGGTTGATGAAGTCTTTTAATTATTAATTTTGTCTTTGTAATATTCTGCATATAGAGTTTCACTTGTGAAACAATATGATTTTGCATTAGTGCCCGCATGGGCAGCTCAACTGGTCATAGGGGTGAAGTTTTGGAAGAATGATTTTGCATTAGTCATATTTAAAGATAGACTCAACATCTTAAAATCGTAAATTTAATCAAAAGAGGATTCTAACAATATGGCCCTGTTTGGTAAAATATTAACCTATTAGCCAATTTTGACTTATTTAATCACTATTAATTGTTTAACTTGGTTAAAAATAAACTCCAAAATGCTAAAATTCAAAAAACTTCTCAAAACAGTCTTTTCAATTAACTTTTTGAGAGAAAGAAATTATACCAAACAACTATCAACTAACAACTAATTTACCAAATATCTTTCTACAATCACCTAATGTATCAACTAATAGCCATTTAATAAACAGGAACTTTGTTAATTTGACATATCAATGTTGCAAGGATTAACATATCATAGCAATCCTTTTGAGATTGGCATAGGATTTGTGAATTTTTTTTTGATCAAATATTTATTATAGAGGTCTTTATCTAAGTAGACATAGAAAAAAATAGTGCTCGTAATTGCTTTCTGGGCAAACTATATCCAAAATTGAAACCTATTATTTTTAAATCTCAAGATATGAGATAAATTTTACTGTCCAAGACTCATGCATGTGAAATAATTTTTATAATTTTATTTTAATGTCCAAAATTGACTAAAGATTTTTATTACACGTTTATTTTATATTTAAACTTATTTAATAATTAAAAAAAAAAAAAGAGTTCAAATTGAACTATTAGACATGATCTTTATTTATTATTCTCTGTGTCTCATTTTGTTAATTCTGTTTACTGGTCAAACTAACTCTTTCAGCATTGCTTATTTTCTTTAGTAATTTTTAATTATTTTTAAATTTAATTTTTTGTGTTTAATAGTATTTTTAATGTAATTTCTAAATATATAAATTAAATTTTATACACTACTATTAAATTTAATATTATAAAAAATTGAATTAAAAATAATTTCAGTCCATTATTTTTAATTAACTGAACCAAATAGATAAAATAGGAGGAAGGGAATATTATTTTTTTTTTCTTTTAAATAAATTGGTCCTACTAAAAACTAAGCAATCAATAAGGTGATAAGGTCGAGGAATAAAATACAAAATTTAAAGCATTAAGAAAAAATAACATGAACTTGCTGCACATGGCTGGGACCAAAAGTAGTCCTAATATCTGTCAGCTGGAAATAGGAAAATATTTGATCGATTTTATACTCTCAATTTTTATTCTTCTTTATAAGTTCTTAATGTAAATACTTTCTGTAAATTTACATTATAAAAACAATGAGTTAATATCTTCGATGGTCCTCCGAGTATTTAACGATTTACCAGCTGTGGTCATCCAAGTTTTGAATGACCTCCAATGGTCTTCCATATTTTAAAAAGTAACCACCCAGGGTCCTTTTAGGAATTCTCGTGGTCATTTTAAACTCAGATTTTTTTAAGAATTAGGACCATAGGTGGTTATTTTTTAAAATATGAAGTACCATTGGAGGTCATTCAAAACTCGGATAACCACAGCGGGTAAATCGCTAATACTCGAAAGACTATTGAAGGTATTAACTCTAAAAATAATTAATCCTTATTTGTTAAATCAGAAAGTAAAATTAAGGAAATAAAATTTAAGAGTATATATAATAGAACTTAACATGGACTATATAAAGACTGTAGAAGACAGATGAGATATTTGATTAATTAAAAATCACGGTACGTCTGATGTCTATGTATTATTAGTCAACATGCAATCGACAACTACATAAATAAATACTGTAGCAGATTTCAGGTGTACTCAAAACCAATGCATGAATTTTCTCCGAGAATCTAATTGACGACGATTGACAAATATTTGAAATCCCAACATGTTTATATCATGCAGAATTTAAAAATGGAGTAAAACTTATTGCAACACCTATTATATATGATTCTTAATTTAATTTTTGTTTTTGGGTATTGTCTACCATGTTTATCATAGTAGATAGTGATGGCCTAATGGCTTATGACGTAATTAACCTGCATATAGTATATGATTTTAACATTAAAGACACATTTAATGATGGGAAAAGATTGTAAAAACTAGGGATTCAATTTAAACATGCATGGATATATCTTCTCTTTTTTTTTTTTTTTTTTTTTTTTTTTTTTTTTTTTGTGTCAAGAAACTAATCAACGATTTGAAGATTTTTTTTTTTTTTTCTTCAAATCGTTGATTAGTTTCTTGAAAAGAATTTTATGTTTAGGAAAGAGAAGGCCAGAAGCAGACAAAAATTAAGGAGGAAGCGTCG